TGCTTTGTCCGAGTATGGGACTGAAAAAGAAATGACTTGATCACATGGCTTTACATGTCCATTACATTGCTTTTCCTTTCAGAATTTCATCCTAAGAAACAAAGGTAAATCTCGGTAAGGCTGAGAATATTCAGAAACAATGACTGTTTCGTACACCGTGGATCGACCAATTCCGGCCAAGAGTCATGAGTACTAACAGTTTCTTTTTCTAAAACAATTGTGAGTCTGTGAATAACTACAGTTGAAGCGTCCCTTGAATAGTCCAACAAAATTGTTCACTCAGTCTGAAATCTGATAAGCAAACGTTTGGCAGCAGATTAAATACCCCACAACTTTTTGTAACAGCTAAACAGTTCTACGTAAAACTTTTACACTTCACTGTATTGTATAAAGAGGTAGTGGATAGAAAAGAAATGATTTTAAGATTGATAATGTATGACACGGGAGAAAATAAATGCAGTTTAATGAAAATGTTCAAATTCTTGATGATGAAGAATACATACAACTGAGCAGAGCAACGTCATAAGGTATCTGAGGAAAGATATTGTTTTTCCGATCTTATTGAACTTAGATTCTGGAAGGAAGGGAAGGCACCTGCAGATTGGAAGAAGGACTACATTGTCAAAAGTCCAAAGAAGGGAGACTCAGGTGTTTGCAAGAACTGGCGAGGAATCATGCTTCTGTCCACACCAAGCAAAATATTAGGTCGCATCATCCTGGAAAGACTAAAGGATGCGCTGCATTCAAAATGACGACCGAAACTGGCTAGCTGGTTGGCTGACTTCAGGAAATACAAATCATGTGTGGATCAAATTGCAACGCTACGCTACGCATCATCATAGAACAGAGCACAGAATGGCAGTCAACTTTCTACCTCACCTCAACTTCATCGACTTTGAAAAGGCCTTCGTTCGACAGTGTCAACCGAGAAGTAATTTGCTAGGCAGCTGCTTCAACACTACGGTATCAGTGCCAAACCCTTTATCAACCTCATTGAACAACTATATGAAGACGCCACATGCCAGCCAAGTGATTCACAATGGGAAGCTCAGTGATGCCTTTGAAGTGAAGTGAAGTGGAGACAGGAGTAAGACAAGGCTGCCCCCCCCCATTATCACCGATGATCTGACTGATTGTGGTCGACTGGATCATGCAGAAGACAACTGTGAGGAGCCAGGAGATGGGCATACACTGGCTGGACCAATGAGAAGACCCCAGAAGAAGATTTGGATTTCGCCGTGAATGATGACTTATGTCTAATGTCTTGTGGCACAAACTCGAAGATGTACAGGTGGAAACTAACAGGTTGGTAGAAAAGGTGAGGCAGAGAAGACGGGACTTCAAGTGAATGTAGAGAAGACAGACGTGAGGAAGATACACAAGCACCACCACCACCAACAACAACAACAACAAGTACCAATGACCATCAACGGGAGAAATCTAAAGGAAGTTGTCTCTTCCACCTACCTTCCTAGGCAGCGCACCATCGTTTCAACTGCAGGCAGCGTCACAGGCACAGATGAGGATGTCACAGCCAGCTAGGATGGGGAAGACAGCAATACTGGCCCTCATCAATCTGAAGTAATAAATGTGGAGACCTACTGCACTGCACTGCACTGCACTGCACTCAACATAAAGCGTGAAAGAGATCCGGATTCTCAACACTAATATCAGTCAAGTCAGTGCATCTAAAACTTAAAGATATATTAACAGTTGATTTTAACAAAGCTCTGTGAAGATGAATATATTTCGAATTTGATTAGTTATCATTCTCTTGTCACTAGTCTTGAATAAAGTTATACTGATGCAACTGAATGGTTTTATGCTGTTAATTTAAACTCGATTGGTAACTGATTCATTACCTATGTTCATTTTACACGAAACAGACTCGATGACATGAAAAGTACTCATTACTTCCTACTATTTACTCCTTTTATACAATAATTCCATTCCGTTTCAAAAGTGAGCAGCAATTAATCAAATTTAACGCTTTTACTTACATTTGCTTTTTGCATTTCGTAAATTGCCTAATCTATCAGTCAATTAGTTCGGATTAAATATGGCTGACTTTTTTCTCTCAGACGAATTACCCGTTAACAATTATTGTAAATTGCCTGAAAAAGAATAGATTCGTGTGAATTAAGTGTATCATTTCAAATCCAATAGATTTTTATTGCAAAAGTCCATTTTACAACACCAGAAAATTACTAAACCTAGTGTATGTCTTTGAATCAGCCTCTTAGTCCGATTTTGGCATCAATAAAAAAACACCAAAAGTAACTATCCTAAACAGAGTCCAATAAGTAAGAGGCATAACAAGTAATGTACATCACCAAACTAAAAGCCATCGCTTCACGATAATCCATTAGAGTGCGAAACTAATAACTTCCAAGATATTGAGAAATGAATATATCTCCTGGAGAAAACGTCTAACTTCAGTAGGCTACGTTTTGTAGAAAGCAATGTTAACGAGGACTAGAAGCTTGTAGAATTACTCCAAGAAGCCTTTAAAAGATTTTTTGCATAACTGAAAATGATTTAGTGCTGGAGAAGAGACGATTCAATGAAGGAAATTTTCTTTTTCGATGATATCGTTTTCTATAGCTGTACAATCATAAACATATATCAGTCTATTATAAAACAATAGGGTATAATTACATCATTAGTCTAGTGCTTAAAAAACGGAATCGAGAATGCAAAGTAGTTGCGTAATAATCTAAGACGGAAGAAATAACGAGGAAGACAAGGAATTCGTCAAGGTGAAAATTGTTGATAGATAAGAAACGCAAATATTGAGTGTCCACTTGATAGATAGATGTAAAGAAGGTGAAGAATGAGACAAGGGTCATAATGAAGGTGATAATAATAAACTAATTAATTATGATGAAATCGAAAAAATGTGAGTGTTAAGACCATGGAAGGATGAGAGATTGAACATACTTCTTTTGCACGCTGAGATCAGGCTTGAATTGATGAATTGACAATGCTTCCGCTGTGCACGATCGTCGAAGGCGTACTCCTTTTGAACTATTCCATCTGACACGATAAATGACACTCAAGGAGGATTCTGGTCTAGCTTTATGTACAGAATTGATCAAATGTTCAAGAACTGAACTGTTAATTGATTTACATTCTCCCCTGGACAACCATGCAGGATAGTGCTCAGAGATAAGTTTGGAAAGCTTGCTCTTTGTGCGGCCTGTTATATGTTTATGATTTAGTGCTGATTAAGTCTCAAACACAACACAATGATTTAAATATATATGAACACGTTAAAATTACGAGTCGCAAACAGAACTATATATGCTTTTTTACTTTCAGTGATAGTCACCAGGAAATGTTATTTGGATTTAACCAATTGAATACAATGATTACGAAAACATACTCCTGAACTCTGTCAATTATTATGGTTCACGATTAATAGAAATCTTATTTTAAACCTCATTATTTTTCAGCAAAAATTCTAGGAAGACGTTTTCATCATAAATAATATTTTGATTCTTCCATTATCTTTTATCTGTAGCTATCATAAGCATTGAGATGTGTGCGACAGCAAGTTTGAAACATTCTGAAAGCTTAAATTCTAATACATCCATCCACCTGCTTCTACGTCAGGCATTTTATCGCTTCAAGTAAGTAGATGAAATTCTCCATATGAATAAGAGTTAATCATCTGTTTTAGATATCTTAATAAACTATAGACTGTTTACGTGAGATCATAACAATGAGTGCTAAACGGTGTCACGTTATCAAGTTCACTCTTCAGGTTGAAGCACCTTGCGTCGAACCACTGAATGTAATGGGTAACAAATACAATGTCCCAGGGTCTCAGCTAAGTCAGTATAACTATTACCATGCAAACTTGGTGTGGAACACTTGCTCACGGAGAAATAAGATGACACCTGCTATTCCATAACAACTAGTGACTACAGTTGATTCACTTTTACTCATGTTATCCCAGATTTGAAAACCACATTTTTAGGAATTCTGTTTGATTTATTTTCGGAATATTTAATACTCATGAATTTGCATAAGGCTGCAAAAGCACTTATAGAAACCCATTGATGAACAGCCTCGAACCAGTTACCTTCAACAATAAGTTTTAGAATCATAGGGTTACAGTTCTGTAATTCTAAAAACTTCAGTGAAAATCCTCTCTAGTCTTCCAGCTTTTTACAAATATCCATGCAACCAATGTTAACTTATTCCCCTTTACTTCATTCAAATCCTGCTACTAAGAGTTTAATTATTCCTGGTATCCATTTTGAGTGTATTAAGCTGCTGATTACATGTGTAGTAGTGGTTGATATGCAAGAAGGAGGCTTAACTGTTGTAGTTCTTATCTCATATCTTTTAGATGGTAGAGATGTACGAAAATGGTCTCTTTTTTGTTGAAAATGAATATCACTGAAGTGCAATGGTGATTTCATTTCGGAAACTGAATTTCATATCATCTACAGTGTTGCTCGATTGCCATGCGTTGATGTTAGGAGAGACAGAGTTCGACACTACCTACAAGTAGTCACTTTTGGTAAGCTGTGTAAATCTGCACTGAACTAGTCACTCAAAATGTTGTGGTGGAAATTGTTCTAACGTATGGCTGAGGAATCAAAATCCTAAGGCACGCTACAACTTTCCTAAAGTTACAGATCCCTACTGTCTCATTATAACTATAGTAGTTTTCCTTAGAAGTAGAATAGATTCTTACAACTTTTTCATAATTATGGGTTATTTCATCAGAAATGTGTTGAAACTGTCTGTTGATTCTTTTGGGCCATGAATGTGGTAGATATATCTGAATGTTACCTCTTTTAACAGAATATATCATGAGTCGTCTGATAAAATATATTTCACTTTTGTGCTTATCCACCTAATGTGTATTAAGCTGATGAATACCATGGAAAAATACCATTGCTTACGAAAATAAACAAGTGAATAAGTGAATTTCAATACAATATAACTGGTTTTCAGATGGACATAATTTCTCATAAAGTCTTCCATCGCTTCTGTCTATATCGAATAACCTCAAACATTATTTCATCTTATTCATGCACAAAAAGATTAGTAGAGGTTTATTTATATGAATTCACTCTTGTAAGAGGATTTAATTCCCTTTTATAGGTTTTAACTACGTGATTAATCATTCCTTGTATCACGCTTAACACCTACATTGGAGAGTAATCAGTTTCACGTTGTCAAGTCCTAAGTGCTGATTGGATACCATCGTTCATTTAGAATGTGTTCAGCAAGATAGGAGACTCATAATAGGGAAGCATTTCGATTGATTTTTAACTGGTTTGAGGTGATAACTAGGAAAACCTTAACCCAGGTTTTGTGCTTATCAATACTCATCACCATGGTATGTTTACATTCTCGAGAAAATTATGTTCTTTAGAAGAATAGGCAACATAAAATACAAAACTCTCCAGGTGCCAGTCAGTGTATCCAGTTCAGCCCTAAAGGGGATCATTATCTCAACTATAATGCCACTTTTTTTCAGCATTGGATGACACACATTGAGGTCTCTCGGAGGGGAATTAGTTGTAGAAATTACTAATGAATGCCAACCAGCACGAAGCATAGGTTCAAGGCTTCCTGTCAATTACTTCCAGCCACTTAACACAATACAAGGATTTATAATTGTTTAGTAAGAAATAGCCACTCTTACCTAAGTTACTGGACAATGCTCTGAAACTTGAAGCAAACGTTTCTGGATTCACGTTCAAGGACGGAAATTAACATTGATGTAAATATTAGTGCAGTCGATGAAACGCAAATGAAACGAAGCACATTTCAGACTGCAGTGGCAACCACCACCCAGCTACAATCAGATATAGTTTACATCCTATAGAATAAGGTAGCTTCACAATTGCTTTAATACGAAAACGAGATGAATATCAGCCTTTGAGAATGAATTCAGGTGTTTATCCTGACAATGTGTTGTATTTTTTGGCTTTCAGAATTCTTCCTGTTACATTTACGTTATGAAACTGCTAGAAATCTTGTTTCCAGCTCATTAATTCATTGAAGACTATGTAACCAGCGTCCGTAGCACTAGTTACAAAGTTCTGTTGTTGTGAAAAAAATATAATTAAACCTGTTTGATCTTCTTATGCTATCCGCACCAACGGTCACATTCCAAAGTTTTAAAGTACAACATAGAAGAATTCTACGCAGTATATTTATCCCTTTATACGGAATCTTACATAAACCCATTGATGTAAATGGACTAAGTTGGCAGACGCTAAACAAGCTCACTGCATCTACAGGGAAATGTCATCAACAAGCAAATATCGTTGTGAAATCATGGTTGGGTAGTATCACCAGTACATTAAACCATTTCATTTCCGATCCTTAAACTAAACGTCTCGGAAAGCAATAGTCAAACATAATCTCTGTAGAATAACAATCATCAAATATGTTGATATAACCGTATTATTTTAATCACAAGCTAATCAATATTTAGGGTAAAATTCATCACGAACTGAAGAACCATTGAAAACCTGGGAGTACTGGACCATGTTTCCAATGGCTCTCAAAATGATCTCAGTCCGTAATGAATACTTACCTTGAAATCAATCAATCTCCATAAATCTTCAATCTAATCAATGCTCAATTTCCTTTTTCTAGATGCGATGTTAAGCATGAACGTACAGTTGCTTCCTATCATAACGATACAATATTTGTACGTGACCTCAGTAGAGGCAACCAAAGTACAAGTAACTCAGCTAGTCAACAAACGACAATTTCTTCCCTTATCAAGTCATTCCTCAACAAAATGTTGTATATTACATTTGTCTTACCCCTTCATTAAGTGAGTCAATCACTTATAACCTTGGGAAAAATCTGTTGCAAGTAAGTGTTATATTGCAATTGATAGATAATTTTGAAAAATCCGTTAAAATTGATGATATTCTCTGTCTTTTTTTTCAAACTTAATAACTGGTGTAAAATGAAAGGAGAAGTGATCATAAGTTAACATAACCTAAAGGTGATACCATTGGAGCAAATACACAAATATTAGAAGTAGTATTCATCATGGACTAACATCAGTCGGGGAAACATTGAAAATCTGGGAGCACTGGACAGCTGTTTCGTCCTAGTATGGGACTCCTCAGCAGTACGCACCCACGACCCGGCTAAGGATCAAACTCAGGACCTTCAGGTTTCACGGCGAAGGCGTTAACCATTCAATATTAGTTTAAGTCAGATAGGGAAAAAAGCTTACAAAGTTACCAGATAATGAAATAAATAATACAGCAACTGTGGAAATGCTAAATTCCAACAGAGAAAAAATATATATATAGGTAGCGAGCCTTTCACCATAAAAATCAAACCATCTGCAGAATACGATAAATTCCTTATATTTCATCGCCTTCTTTAGCATAGAGAACAATGGAAAATGTGTGCGTAACACTTTTATTTGTCAGTTACCTAGAAATCATCTCAAGTTTATCAGTTATCACTATTGGTTTTTAAATAGCCTCTTCTGTGCACTATTAATCCAATGCATTAGTAAGCTTTTTCCATCATTAAAAATTAAAGAGACATTGACAAGCAAAGAGGATTCTTCTAGTAACTTCTCATCATATCTGTACAGTTTATAGAGTAGTCTGAATATATCATAAGTAATTCCAACAGGGGTCAGAGGTTAACGTTACTAAGTAACAAAACGCATTGAACTATGAATCGGAAGATAAAAGTAGTATTATGTAGGGGGCGGAAAGTTAATCTTATTTAACAAAAATATACAGGTATAATATAATGAATAGAACTCAGAAGTGTTTGCCCTATTAACTAAAATGGGTTACAGGGATCAGTAATATTACATATTGAATAGCCGGAAGGATTTCAATCATTACGTTTTGCTACTAAATAGTGCGAACTTTTGACCCTTGCTAGCTTTATTCAAGATATGGCTGTACAGCTTCGATGAGTAGCTATGAAAAGAATTCTATTTGCTGACCAATATCTTTTTAATTCGAATTACATAGATACCTTTCATGCGGATATTACAAACGCTTTAAGGGGGAATCCTGATTATCAACTGGTATATAATACATCTAAAAATACGTAACTATCAAGGAAATACACGTGATTTCATTCGATTTATCACCAGTCTGCTTAAGTTGTTTATTCAGAATGTACGTAGTTTGAAAGACTGATTTCAGACAGCTGAATCAATCCGGGCACACAGCTGATAAGCTTAGCATCATCAGGATTTTAGATTATTACCATCTGGTTAGAGAGTAATGCCAGTTGGTTTCATTGACCAACAACAACTTATTTCAGGCGATAGAAGACAAAGTACAACTTTCATGCTCTTAACCAAGACGTAGTTTTTGGTGTCAAGTAAATCATGTGTAGTGGTCTGAGGATTTTCGTTTTCAAGAGAAAACAAAGATGAGATTTTAAAGATTTTTCTAACTTGTGTAATTCCTATCACGGACGCTGCAGTATGCTATACGGTATAATGAAATTACTCTTGGCACAACTTTGAACACTAATTAATCTTAAGGTTGAAATCAACAGTTGGAAACATACTCGAATTAAAAATTCACAAAACTCTAAACTCATTTGTGTATTCCTATAAAAGGGTACTCAAGGAAGTGATCTCATTTTATCCTTCAATATTCGTATATACTACAAGAACTTACTCAAATGCAACGACGTATCAGTAGAGACTGTGTGGACTCGTAGCTATTTAAAGCATCTGGAATATTTCTCTCTCCGAGTATGAAATCTGACGCTAAACACGACCACTAATCTTATTACAAGCAAGCACGTTTTTACGTAGTTTTTGAATTTCTTAGTGAGAAACACCAGTTTGTAAGGTAGTAGGAGAATATCCATTAAGTTTCGCTCACTTAACAGTGGGTCTGAAGCCATATTTATATGCAAGACTTCTCCTGAATGATGATTTCATTACAACCTCGACTAAAGTTTATCTCACGTAGCTGACTTCAAGTATGAGTGTTTACTATATATATATATATATATATATATATATATATATATATATATATATATATATATATATATATATATATATATATATATATATATATATATATATTCTTCAACAGTCATTTTGCAGTCTACTAGTGAAATCTGTGCTCAGTTTACGGAACCGTGCTCTATATGCTTCTCACTGACGAGGATAGCGCTTGCTGTAATACAGTATATTTAAATCGATGATGACTTCTTAATAGGGCTTCATAACTTCCCTAGACTTCATCCTCAAGCACCACTATCAATTTTAAATACACTACATGACTCAGTAGGTAGTGTCCAATCAAAACAAACATTTTGTACATCCTACTTGTTTGATAAATTTGAACAAACCAAGAAGGATTGAATTTCCAAAATAAAAGACATCATTTTATTTCATGAACATTCATCAGCTGTAAACAGTCAAAAATTATAATGGTTATTGGAAAAAAGACTTCATGAACACATAATTTGACCATGAAGTATTGGATGATACCTCATAAGAAATAATGAAAATTTAGGGAGTCCAAAGTGCTAAGAAAACAAAATGAGCATTCACATCACAGGAAACTTACAGACCAAGAAAACACTTTCATTTACAATAATTGTGAATAGATATAATGTTCTAGTGTATCTTCATTACTCTACAAATAAACGGTCATCAAAACTTAACCATGGATATCAAAGGTATAAAAGAAAGCGAAATTGTTAATTAAATGTTTACATACAGTATAGTATGACCTCAAACAGAAAACAAAAAAATTATTTTAATAATACAATGCCTGTGAATGTTACTGTAATACGCCTTCTTTTTAAGGTAACAGGAAAATACGGAACTAAAAGTAAACGTGAATTGTAATCGATGAGCTATAATCACATGAAGACTTTTTCTAAGCAAATATGTAAGGTCATTCATTGTCAAGGCCAACCAACCTGTAGAGTTCACCATTAATATCCTCTTCAAATAATAAAAGAATTTTGTTTACATAAGCTAGTTGAATTAGACTGACTCTTTACAACTATGCGATGAAAAGAATTGTTGCTATGACTTATTTAACAATGTTTTTTTCTTTCACACTGGAGGAAAGCCTGAAATGTAGAGATAGCGGAAACAAATATCACATATGATTAATACTTTTGAAGGTAAGCAAAGATAGTGTTAAAACCAGTAGATATCACACCAGCAGACTTTTGCCCTCAAAAGAAATTGAGGAAGTTAAGCAACCAAATTTGATGGGAGTGAAACAATCCAGTCAAAACTGGTTAACTTACGAGAGAAGAGCAGTGGCAAATGAAGACATATTGCCCAGGTCTATGTAGATTCTGCAATCGATCAACAGTACATAAAGACAAATACCAAATTAGGAACAACAGTGTCACCATCATCTAACTTATCAAAATAATTGTACAAAAAACGAAGACACTTTTGTAATTCTTAGGACAATTTGTTTGAACAAACAGATGAAAGCAATTAATTTACAGTAGTAGAAGAGTAATAAAATTGAATTTTACTTCAAGGGATTCTCATCAAGAGAACACATGACGGAAAGCAACAAGCTCAAGTGCACGGAGGATAACACACACAATTGTAGAAACTCAGTGTCAAGTAAGGGTACAAGTACTAGTCATAGATCTCCTTCTATGCAGACGCACTGTGCTCTAACGTAGCAAGAGCAGCACACACAACAATGACCATAGTAGATACATTTGTCCCTGTTAGTAATATCCGTAGTTTGTTCCGTGAATAGACAGTCTTTTCGCTGGTCCAACATATTCTGCACGACTTTTTAGTATGCATTTGATTGCATACGAAAAATTTTCCAAACACGGATGCACTATATTTCTTGATGGTGTTTGGTTGCGCTGTATTAACTGCTAGTGCAGATAACTCTCGATAAAATGATATGGAATGCGTAATGTAAAAGATTGCTCACTGTTTTCATTGGAGCTAGGTCTTTCGTGTGAAAAAATGTTTTCAAACAGGTCTCATTTGATACTGTTAAAACTGAAAAGACGATTTGTATGAAATTCTTCCTATTTCATCATGGATTTATACACTTTCAGTATTCGATTAAATTTTAAAATATCTGAAATGTTTGTGGTCGCCTCCTTCATTCTCAGTGAAATCTACCTTTATTTCAAGACTACTGCAGAAAGTTTCTGTTCTTAATCAGAACGATGAAAATGTCATACAAAGAGCGGGTTTATAGTTCCAGCCCAATCATAAGTAATACCACTCATTCCAATCCGTTTCATACATCATACCGAAATTTGGTGAGCCTACTTGTGTTTCGCTTACTTATTCAAAAACTGCACCACTGAATGGAAAATACAAAGGATGACGTGAGCTATTTTACGAGACTGAGTTTATTCGATAGACACTTAGTAGTGTTGATAACATACTTTTAAATGCTTAGATATGCAGTAGTAATAGTCAACTATTAACGACAGCATTATCTAGTGAAATCACTACTACTCTATATACAGCAGTCGTTGTCTCCTATTATTTTTGAGCACTGAATGCCATCTCCAGAGAGTTAGTGCGTGATGCAACTGAAAGCTCAAGGAATGGATTAAAACTGCTGATTAACAATTGTTCAGCAAATGTAAATATGGACATAAAGTAATTCCGTCCAGGATTCGCATTTATTGATCTCAAGAAGAGAGAATATTATCACATACATGATTGGAAAAGCCTTTAAAGATTTTGTTGGAAGTATATTATGATAAGTTTGCACACAACTCTGGTCATCAGCATTAACCTGTTTGAAAAGCCACTTTATTCCCCCGATATTCATATTTCATACTAACTGATGTTATCTCGAAGTGAAGAATCGCAGAGTCATATCACAAACGCCTTGTTTTGCCTCAGCTGTCCATGTAGCAATTATGATGTCCAAGATTAATGTATTTTGTATCGGAAGATCATATAAATCACTCATCGGTGGATTTCATTCAAAACTACAAGTACATTTACAGACTAACAAGATGCTGAGAACTTTTCACTCGAAAACACTGGCTATCAGATCAGTAACGTAGAGTCACACGTCAAACTGACCAATAGTAAGGCTGAACTTAACACGGAATTTTCGACCTACTGATATCATCTGAAAAAATAAGGGACATAGGAAAATGCTGAAAATCAATTTCGTTTCATTCAGCGAGTCCTGTCGCAGTAAAAAATTACCGTCTGATGCTATGCCTACGGATTTATGGTAAAAAGTACCATTCACCTCTTCATGAAACTCGTTATAGAGCTAACAAAGACTACGGAATTTTTCTAAGCTCAGTAAATTAATAATAGCATACATTGTATCGACGAAACAAGAGAATCTGGTGAATTTCTTCTTTTCCCCATCGATCTATGTACTTAAAACTTCATCTTTGTTTAAGCAATAGCAACTCAATAGTTTGGCATTGTACAATCAGATCTTCATGTAGGGAAAGCATAAATTCATCTAAGGGATAACTACATGCTAAACGACAATTGAGGCTCCAAGGTTGCAGTAGATAATCCTTGCTTTGTCGCTCGGCCTTACTAGAATTTCTACTCGAATAAAATTGGATAGAAATTAACTTTTTTCGTGCAAGTCCTTTCTTTATTTTTACATCATTTAACTTCTCAGCTAAACAGTAACTTTCATAGCCAGATGGACATGGCTTGTTTATCGATTAACGGACTAAATTTTCTTCATCACCTAATTAAACTAGAACTGTTGACCTCAATATGATGACAAATGTAGCTTATAGTTCGGCCAACAGTGCAGAAGTGATTTGTTTTTGGTATGCTTAACATACACTTGTACACCTAGAACGGCTAAATCTTAATCTCTTCGACTTCGTTTCACCTTTATTTGATAAAACAGTGCACTTTTCTTCATTTTTATATTGATTTGTTTTAGAATTGGTGCCATTTATCCCGTGAGCGAACAGGATTAATATCAGTCAATCACCTGTCTATTGCTCGATTGACTGTAAGAAATCCCATTTCACCACATCAATGTAGGTTTCCATATGAATAATGTTGCTTTTTTGACCTGTTTTGCTGGTATTCCAAAACGTTATAACGATTTATTCGTGTATTCACCTTATACATGATGTAGAATAAACGACAACTGAGGTATAACAACTTTGGTAAGACATGGATATTCAATAATTTTGATATTGACAATGTATAGAATCTTCACAAGTGACCTCTTCGTACAGTCGTCTCAATAAATCTCACAACAGCTGTTTTTTAGGTCGTTTAAAATGCATTTTCACTACATGATCTAACGTTTTTTACTTTAGAAACTGCTAAATTCATAACAATGTATTCTCAGTAGTTAGTTCCCGACCTGGTATACATTCCCTCTACTGCAGGTCGATTGATCTTAGCACTAAGTTTGAACACGGATATAAATTCAATCAGTAGCTGTCTTTCACAGAATGCTTGTAAAAAACTGTGGCCAATGTTGCTGATGAGGAAGTCATTGTGGTTGGGTATCTAATAATGATCTGGTTGCACTATATTACGAACCGGTTGAAGTTGAAAATGCTAGTTACTACATAACAACTCACTGGTTGAAATGTTGATTTATTCCCTGGGAAACCTGATATTCCTGCATGTGATCACACATGCTTTCCAAGATTTGTAGTTTTGAGGAGTTCAAGACTAGAATAAATGAAGCTTTTACTCCTCTCTAGTTTTTTTGGTAACTATCCAGATGATGTTACTCCCCGATGAAAATTATCTTCATAAAGAGAATTCACTATTTGTATTTCAATCTCAAGTCTTCTTTATGGACTGTAAACAGATTACAGCGTTCAAAAATCCAAATAACGCTTAGATCTGCAGCTTGAAAACTTTAACTTCTACGTTCCAAAAATATATCTTCTGGTTTATGATGAAGATTTGTGTTTCATATCTCATCGATACATTAATGAAATACGCATCAAATCTCACCGGGCTACTGAAATTACACTATCGAACGTTTATTCACCTTTCAAGATTAAAAATAGGTTACGACAAACAAATGGTTGACAGTAGAATTAATTAAAACTATAACTTAGGTATAGATGGGAATTTCTGGTAGAAATTGATTTCAATATATGCATTCACAGTTGTTTAAAATGTTGGAGTTGATTATCAGAAAGAAATTAAAAATCAGTTCGTTTTTTTCCTGCTATGGCTATACGACATTCATCGAATCGATATTTTAATGAGATCATTTTAATATTTACACTAGCCTACACTATCTTTTTCTAATAAATCAAGTTTTGGTAGCTAATGATTACTCATTTAAAGTGAAGTTTGAAACGAGTGGGCCCAAATGGTGGATCGAATTACTTCATCTTAAGAGCTACGTCAACATTTGTAGATAAACCTGCAAGCAATAAGAATATGAATGTTATCGATACTAATTTGTGACTCAGTCTTACCGAAGTTAGTGAATTAGAGTTGAACCAATAGATAAAGAGGTGACGATCAGATGACAGACCACAAGTCAGTGGCTTTGCCTACCTGAATGTTTATGACTATAGCTGAGCAAACAGTAATCAGTGAAAAGAGCTGTCATCAGCCAAGCATTTTACAAGAACAAATGGATTTTATTATATTGGAGTTAGTTGAACAGTGAGACAGAATTATAACTTCTTTCACTGAGGATTATAGTTCCCAACATCAGTGGTTTTTGTACGACATTAGAGCTGTGACTGACTGTTAAGCTTGGAGTCTTGAAATCAGTTGCATTGGGAACCCTTTACAAACCCCGCTGAAACAATGGTTCATATGATTTTCACAATCATCATTAATCCGGAACAATTTTATCGGCGTTCACTCGGAAATACTTAGGTTCACACCAATGGACTCAATATAGAGACTGATCATACGGCACAGAATAAATCTTAAGCATATTATTTTATCAATGTATAAACTTATGAATTATGCATATTTCCCTTTTTCGTAAGTGTCTTTACAGACAAAAATGAATTTTTAGGCATGTGAAAAATCATTTGTTCACTAGATCTTACTTCTTCCCACCATGATTCTCTCCATTGAAATAATAAATGCTTTGAGGCGAATAGTAACCAACCCAAAGTATGGTTTTAGTCCATGGAACCTTACTTAGATTGTTGGTTTGACATAGGAAGGGAAATGTAGGTTCTTAGATTGAAGTCTACCAGATAACCAAAACCGATGGTTGAAAATATAAAATGACATACTTCAGAAAAAATTTCAGTGGTGCAAATACATACATAAGTGCTTGGTTTCCATCTTAACCATACTTTAGTGTTTCAACTCTCTTCTTTTCAACTGATCGCTTTTGATGGCATCATTTCTGTCTCATCGAATTCCGCTTTGCCTTTTTATATTAAGATGTACTGATGTGAGTTGTGGAAACAGGTTGATAACCAGTAATGACAAGAACCATGTTGATTTTGCAAATTTCACACTATTTTTAAGTGTTTAGAGTCATTCGTTAGAAATATCAAGACGTGCTTGTTGACATTCATCAACAAGGAATGACACTCTCCGAGGGATTTTATGCCACTTTATTGAATCGCACTTGCATCATAGGAATTAGTTCCAAACTACTGAAGCTTCAACTAACACTTGGTGGACTGAATTATGCATTGGATAAAGATGTACTTACCAATACATTGCATTTGCATTCATCTGGCATTACAGTGCCCCGGTTATTTAAATACTCAGTTCTAAACTATCAGGTTCGATAAAATATTCCTGTTTCACCCAATTTGTTTGGTGTAGATAGACTGTTATGCTACGTACAATATAACACGCAAGTGGAGTTACTCAGCTTACTCATGTTGTCAAATACAATGATATCTCTTACGTAATTTTCATTCCTGATTACAATTTAGTTAAACCTTAGTTTGATTGACTCTTTCCATTAGGAAAGTCAAGGCAAAGACAGTAAACGAAAGCATTCCTTGAATTAGGGCTAATTAGCATAACCAGAAGTTTTAATAAAGGTCAGTGTGTGTCAGTTAAACGGACATATGTCCCGTCTCCTGAACAGTTAAAAACATCCTCCATGATCTTCCTTATCATAAAGTTTTTTCACTTCACATTATAAAGATAGTGTAATTGAGTAAACATTTCGACGATTCATTTGCTTAAAAGATTGAACTGATATCCTTTCATGAAGTCCATCATATTGACTCATTACAAACGAATGGTGGCTACTATCAAAAACCCAAGTGACTGACATATGTGCATTATACAATGAAACAGGCCACCACATTTAAACGAAACATACGATGAAAAAAACAGTAATATTATTTACCCATCAGATATAACAGTCAGTCAAGGAAAAACAAATGATATGCTCACAATTTGAGTTCTTATGCCAGTGAGCTAGAACTCCTCCTTAGTCGAATTTAATAATGGTAGTCAATAAGTAATGTTCATTTAACTTCCTTAACTTATTACCAAGGCAAATTTGAAAATTATAGAAAATTAATGCCTTCTTTGAGATTTGTATACGTGTTAATCAATGTTAGTGATTAGTACTCAAAGTTGAGTGCATTTCCTCCCCCACAATAAACCTCCAGAAATGTAATGCTAAATAGGGTCTACTATCGTCTTAGATTACTTACACAAGGAGATACAGTGTTAATACATTCAAATCATCAGGTAGTAGGACACTGGTTGCTTTTCAGTGACCAATCGATTAATATATTGTACAGAATTAACTGTTTTCAATATTCACCCTTTTAATAAAGATTTTTCAAAAAGGCCAACAAGTCACTCTACTAAGTGAACATTTGTTATTTAAATATTTAACAGAAAAATCACACTAGTGATTTAAACGAAGATAAAATCATCAATTTAAGATTTATGTTCAGTTCTTGTCTAGATTGGAAATTAACTTGGTGTAATTAATTGTGAACAACAACGTTCAGCCAAGGCTGTCGATTCTCCCTATAAAAGTATGAAACATTACGCCATTTAGATAGAAACACGTTTCACATTAGTAAAGAAATAACAAAAATTACATTCCAGATAATAGTCTAAATTATTCAAACCTACTTTTTTTCATACAAACTTTTAAGTCAAAATTAATCTTGCTTCAGAATGACAATTAAAAATTAACCGGATTGCGCATAAATCAAGTATTTTTTGCATCATATAAATCTGTGTTGACTAGATTTTTAAAAAAAATAAAATCTGTGATGTGCTATTGTGCAACAACATATGTTCGTATAATTAGTACACACCATATTATAGTTGAAAAGACTATATGCTTTCGATTACTGATCAACAATCGTTGTTATGGTTATTCCCTAACATAGTTAGGCGAAACACCATCCCACCACTCTCTGTATCAGTGTTTTTGATCCCGGTTGGTGATAGAAAAAAAGAGGAATAATATTCATTTCGAACAATAAGCTATGCTCAACACATTTTAATCTGAAATAAAACAATCTTTTAAGCATATGGTAAGGTCTCTAGCCACATTCACACGCTAACAGAGGTGAAAGGAAGGAAGCCAGAACAAAAGTTGTTAGGAAAACAATTTTTTAAGGCTACTTGTACTTGTTGCGCACAACAACAAATCGTGTTTACACTATATATGTAATCATTTAATTAGTTAATTTAAAATCTCTAGTCACCACTATTGTTTGAGTGATAATGAATATTATTTTGACTATCTGAAATAACCGTAGTTTGGCAGATTAGTATTGATAATGGATGATGATTGAATGGAAATTTGGACCACAGCGGGATTCGAACCAGCGACCACCGGGCCAGAAACACAGTAGTCTACCGGAAACTGGAATACTACTATAGTAGGGGAATTCATCGGTATGTTCTAGTATACACCAACACATTACCATAAAGCGTGTAATAATCAATCGATTTCACAGTCCTTCAACCCACAGGCTTTTGAACTGGAACGTTAGCGCACAGTTTAGTAAGATGATAATGAACCTCAGAAATAGTTTCAACATTTTAAAGACGTTTCTTACAAAGAGTAGTCTTACTAGGCGTCACAGCTCAGTACAGGAAATTGTA